TGACATGAAGAAGGTCCCTGTCGGCACATGGCCCAAAGACCCGCATATGAGACAGATTGGCAACTATGCTCGGGCCGTCAACTATGACTCTCTCGGCGCTGTCACAAACATCCCCTTCACCAAGGGCCTGGGCTGGACAACGTTGGAGGTAGAGGTTTGGTTGGTTCAAGTGCGAAAGGATCTGATGAACAATTTCTTTCACACATATCATCATTACCATTCCTACTCTGGTCAAAAGCCGCTAGAAACAAAGTAGGCGCGCAAGCTGTTTGGATAACGTCCATACACATTACTACATAAGAATCAACTAGATTATTGACACAAGTGCGCAAGCGGCAATGTGTAAACCACATGAGGGATGTGAAACCGATTGATCCATTAACGAATGATTGGATGTAAGAACACAAAGGCCGGGGCAAGCTTGGCTTCGAACTATTTCAAACCCGATCTACGATGATCCCATAACAAGTTCAATGCACCAAAATAGATTCGAATGTCAGATTTTACCTGAGAGTTTATGTAAACTTAAGAGGTAGCGGGTGTGAAGGTTTTGGTATGGGCTCGTGAAAGCTCGTTTGGAAGACCATGACATACCTTTGCCATTGGTGTTGTTGCAGTACATGAGGTCCGGCCAGTGGTCACAGGTCGGCAGGTTGGATGCTGGAGCGCCGCGAAAAGGGGGTACAGGAGTGATTAGATGGAACAACGACGTGTGCTGGCAACTTTTCGTTTTCTTCATTGGGCACCCTAAGCTGGCTAAGAATAGATACCTAAGCATCTACAATCGTAAACCTCAAGTTCAGCTTCGTCTCCTTTATAGGTGCATCCAATTGGAAGCCTCCATTGGACCCCCACACGGTTACCTCCTTGATAGCCTTCAACCCCAGTCTGTACTTATGCTGTAGAAGCATCCAGGCTGTTGAAGCGCCATTAGGGCTGCCCAGAATTGCAAGCCCCGGGTCTGAGTCTAATTGGAATGTAATCCGTTCATCCCAGCCAGGCACACTCTGATGCCCCTCCTCGCGTAATGCTTGTAGAACAATATCAAAAGTCTTTTCATAGACAATATGCGCTTGGAAGATGAGCTTGAGGTTGGTCATCTCAATTCCCATTGCCTCACAACCAAGCCACCATTGAAAGTAAGCAAAGTCAGACAGAGTATCGAGATCGGGGACGTCTCCTGTCTTATACATAGATTTTGTGTACTTGGGACTGAAGTTCGAATCAAAGATGAAAGCGCCTGAAGGTGCGTTTACGACGTTGGTATAATGCCCTCCTGTTGGCTAGAAAGGCGAAGTCGAGTTAGTATTGCGGTCGCGCTATTATCAACTGTCGGGTGTTACTTACCTCTCCCACCCGTAGATCTGGAAACCGAAACTTCCGGTCATGAACTGCGTTGTAGGCCATTCCTTTCTCCCTGTCGACCGGGAAATCGGGGTCCGCGAATGCTTCGTCCAAGTCGTCTTTGAATTGCGGCCACTGCTTGGCCGGGTTGAAGGGCCAGCGTGAGTTTTCCTGCGTCCATCCCCACTGAAACATATCTTCTGGTTCCCTGAACGGGCTGATGATAGAAGCTCCGCCGTTGTACTCTTGAGCCTCGTCATTGTTGAGTGGGAAAAGTTCCTTAAGCCATTTTCCCTTCTCAATTCTGCCATTGTAATCCTCGGGAAATGAAGGGAATGATGTCTTGACCCGCTTGGTTAACGGTCCATTGAGAGACAGTTTGGCCTCTGTCGTTACGGGAGAAGCGCAAGCGAATGTAACAATGAATAGAAAAACCAAGAAGAGGACACAGGCACTCTTTTTATTGAACGAATGAATAGAGTGAGACATTTTGAAACGATGCGGCTAACAGCCGATTGAGGCTGGGGATGGCGCTGAGATGCAAAGAATGATTGCCGCGGCATACGCAACGTGGACAGCGACAGAACAATTAAATAGCTTCTCATTTCATCTTCAATACCGAGTCACAGCATTTAGAGTGCATAGACTCATATAATTACTTACAGTGCTGGGCAGAACTCTATCTGCGGCTATCCCTGCAAAATAACCCGATTGAAGTTCAACAGGCAATCGCCCCCGCGATTTGCCAGGGCATGGTCCGAGTTCTACAGAAGTGGCTGACTATCTAGGAAATAAATCACGGATATGCCGCTAATGCTTTATTCTCACTCGGTCAATTTGGCTTGGCTACAGGCTCACACACCATCCGGCCACACCTCATGAGCAATTAAGATTCTTGCTCGACTCTAGGTGGCTTTCTCCCTCGACGTTCTCACATCATCAGTTGATATTCAAATTCAATTTCCTTATTCTTTGATTTATTATAGCAGCATTGCTGTCAAGCCCCATATGTCCCCAAGGTGAAATCCAAGTTCGGAACTTGAAGGTCGTAGCTATCGATCGCGGCGAGCTCCGATCGCATACTGACAGAACTACATACGGCGCTGTTCGTTGGGGCAGGAAATCAGGGGATGTGTCTGATGTATCCAATTTGGGGTTTCATTGACACTTAATCGTCGTGTAACGATTGTCGGCTCTCCAACTGACCCGAAACGTCGGTGCTCGGGAGCTTCTGGTTCCCGAATCATGGTGCAAGCAAAAGAAGACTGAGACAAGACTATACGCTCACTGTCTGTATTAATGACTTTCGTCAGTATATGCTAAGATTCCAGTTATTCTGAAGATGCTTTAACTTGGAACCACGTGAGCTGCGTTTTCCAACAGCCCGCGTATTATCGCTTGTAGGTGTACTGATTATTGCAGCAAGAACTGGAAGACGATGGTAGCCCAATGCGATAGTGTAGCCAATAATCCTTTAGTACACATAACCTAACCAATGTTCCTTCTTTGCATTGGCGAACATCACTTCAACATCAGTTGATATCTATCGCGAAGCCCCTTGGGGAAGAACAAATCTGCGCCTGAGTGAGCTCCATTTCGCAATTGGATACGAAGTATGTAAACTGCGAGCCGCTCACTCATTCTCTCTGTCATTGGAAATAATCCAGCTTAGGTCTGAGAGGCTCACTGAATGATAGATGGCCGCGTCGCCTTAGTCTTTGTACGAAGCCTATCTTTTCGGTCGAGCTTCACTTGGATTGAGGCGTTATTCCACCCTCAGTACTGCACCTCAATTCGGCGAAGCCCGACACTCTGGCAGATCGGTAACAGCGCAGTTCCGCTACCATGTATTAACGTTGTGTTGTTCTGGTCAAGCGCCTTAACGCCGATTTGGCTTCTTCCGGCTCGGCCGAGTGGCTGAACAGAAGCCAGAAGTGGATGCACCTTCGGGATGTGGAAAACTTCGGGAACTGAACCTTGGATTTTCCAAAATTCCAACCAGAAAAGAACCTCACGAGGCTTTTTTGATTAAAGTACGTGTGCTACCTCGCCCACTTAATCGAGATTCCGGTAAGGCGGCGCCCGCAGTCTCTCATGCGCACGTGTACGTGGGGGCGGTCCGATCAAGAAGAGCCAAAACCGACGAAGAGAAGACGGAGAGAATTCTCGAGTTGGTTTAGCAAAGGGTCGCCAAGGCTTTAACGGAGGCTTTCGGCAGTGAGCATGACAAACGTGGACGTCAGCAGCTTGCGAGGCCACGATACTCAGCCTTGCAGGCTTTGACATAATGGAGAAGAAACAATTAGTGAAAGGAGCTCAGAATGGCTGGAACATGGGAAAGCCGGCTCGCGACGGAGCGAAATATACGCGTTCAGCAAAGGGACTCTGGCGGCTCTGCGAGAATCGACCGGTTGGTGAGCTGCTTCTCCAATCGGGCTTTCAGATGAACTAGTGGACCGATCGACAGTTGGGAGAATCCCTGCAGGCAATGGGCCTTAATGCGCATTTGCCGGCGTCTAGGCGACGCTTGCCAAACTAAACACTAAGATAGGAGTGAGTGAAAAATTTCAGGTGGCCATCATCACACCCTCACACCGTGCTTGATGCATACTTGCTAGCTGTTGCTGATGGATTGTGACCGGTTTTCTGGCCGCCAGTCACTCGCGAAGCCTCTACAGCCCTCCTTTTCTGATAAGAAGAGATTCCTCCATGGCAAATGAAAGTTCGTCACCCATATCGTTGTGATCAACTTGTCAGAATGGAATGGCACTCTTCCAAATACCAGATAGGGACTGTGGGGCATACAAAACGACGTCGGCCACGTCGGCGCGACCATCCGCTTGTACCTCACAGCATACGCACCGTGCTTGTTGCTAAAGCCGAAATCCCTACTTCACGGCTGAATGGCGCAGCGTTATACACATTACCTCGACAAGGTCGATCATCAAACAAGTCATGGCTTACATGTAGTTTTGCATTCATCGGGTTCGCTTGTTTGCCACAGCAGTCACGCCAGATGCGTGAGGTTTGGTGCAATGGAGCCAGTCTCTATGCCGGAGATTGTGACAGTTCCAATTCATTGCTACCATCTGCCTTTCAAGGTCAGGGTCTCAGAGCTTTATTCACTGCCCTCGCGGAAGAATGTTTCGAAGATGTCCGCCGAAGTAAGGTAATTAGTCGGTGCAAGCCTGCAAAGTCCTGCGATCTCGGGGGAGAAGACGCCCCTGCCGGATTGATGGAACCTTGCCCTGATTCAAGACGGGGACTCCCACCAACAGGCAGGCTTTTCTGTTGCAATTACTGTGGGCTTTTCCAACACTCACATCTCGGAGAATGAATCGGTGCCGAAGCGGCAACTTTACTGCAACCATTGTGGGGAATTTCCATCGTGAAAGTTGCAGAGTCTACTGCGATTACTTTCAGCAATCCACAACCTCAAACAATTCTACATAGTAGCATAGACTACCCAGCAGTGGGGCGAGAGCGAAGCGCCAGGATGAAAAACAAGAGGCTATCGAAGAGGCTACCGCCAAGGAAGCATCTAAGACGACGTATAAAAGAACCTCTATCTTACGAGGTAGTGGTAGCTTTTCTCTTCATAACAGCGCACTAGCAATCGCACTCCTTCAGCTTCTTCTTTTCAACTCCCGCAAAGTATGCAGTTCACCGTCGCTTCCTCTCTGGCCCTTCTGGCTGGCCTTGTTCACGCCGTGCCATTGGCCAACAACACTCCTTCAACTCGCCACTTCGACGGTGCTTGCACAGCAGATAAGCTTACGATCCGAAAAGAATGGCGCAACATGAACCCGACCGAGAAGCACGACTTTCTTGATGCCCAGAACTGTTTGATGCAGCTGCCCGCCAAGACCAACCTCGGCGGAGTCACGAACCGGTTCTCCCATCTTCAGGCCCTGCCAGGGCCCACCTCAAGGCAAGTAAACTTATTAAGTTCAATCGATTAATTAATTAATTTTAAATCTACTACTAGTTAATTAATTTAATTATAACCTTTAAACTTAATTAATTACCTTAACTCTTTTAATAAGGATTATAATATAGATTAAATAAATATTTTACTACTAAATATCCTTATTTTGTTTATTTACTCTCTACTTCTAACCTCTATTTCTAATAAAACCTCTTTTTAGTAAACTATAAATTACCCCTTTTTATTTATTTAGTTATTTTTTAAAAAAACTAATATTATAATAAACTTAGTATAATTATAATATTCTCTAACCTCTTGTTTTTAGCTTAAATATTAAGTAATCCTTCTAGAAAGTTTAAAATCTATTTTTTAAAATCTTTTAGAGATCTATATTAAATCTATTATTTTATTACTATTATCCTCTATTCTTATTATTTATTAATATCCTTTAAATATAGATTAATTTTATTATAGTTTAAATAAAATAAAAACTACTTCCTATCTAATTATCCTTTATTTAAGAACCTTTTTAAAGTTATAATAAATAATAAAATATGTTTATAAAAATTAAAACCTTAGAGAAAAAAATAAAAAAGAGAGGATAAACTAAATAAGAAGTTATACCTAGTTTTTTATTCTCTACTAGCTAAATAGTTAACTAAAACTTAGTTTTTAAGCTTATTATTACTATAATCTTAAAAGTAAATATTTAATTCTTAATATTAAAGTAGTTTTATCTATTATAAAATATATTAAAAAGAACTATACTAAAAATATTGAAGTAATATCGATTAACTTAAAGGGTTTTAAGATAGTTAGTAACATTCTACATAAAAAATAATATTTAGATTTTATTAGTATAATAAAAGATAATATAAACAAGATTTAGAAAGCTATTATCTACTTTATTATAAATATTAATTTTTCTTTAAGTATTTATAAAAACTCTATTTTTTAGAATATAATCTTTAGTATTAATATAAAGCTATAAATATTAATATAACTTACTATTTTAATAGTTTATATATTTAAAAGTATTTAGAAGTATTAAAAGAAATTTATATAATGAAAACTTCTATAAGCGAATTCTAAAATCTATTTATTTTTTAATTTATAAACTTCTTTAAGCTACTAAGCTATTATAAGTATTATTATATATTTAATTACTAAAAAGAAAGGTTTATAAATATATTTAACTATTATAAAGCAGTAACTTAAAATGTAGATCAATATTAATTTTATAAATATTTTTTAAAACGTTATTTAAAACTAAAATGTTATAAACTAAATAAAGACTTTTATCTCTAATAACATAAACTTAAATAATATTTATATAATAAATTTAAATTTTAGCTTAATCTTTTTATAAAAAAGAAATAAGATATTTTAATTAAAAAGATTTATTACTTTAAACATATTTGTAACCTTATGTTAAAAGCCTTTTTTTTAATAAAGACTTTAAAAGTTTCAAGAGACAATTAGATATATATATTTTTTTATAATAAAATAGAACTAGTTTTAAATATTAATAAAAAGCTGATCTTATTAATAAGCTTTATAATATTATAAAATTTATAAAAGCTTTATTATAATATATATGGAGGTTTGAAAATCTATTTTATAAAATATTAAAAAGATTTAAGCAATTTAGTAATATTCTTCTATATTAGTAGACATTTAGAGATATTAAATTAATTAAGATAATTTTATAAAATAGCATTTAATATATTTTATAATTAAATATACTATCTACTTTAAAAATTAAATCAGTAGTTTCTATTTTTCTTAAAATATTAAAATAAAATATCTTAATTTCTAATAACTAGCTATAGTTAATAGAGATTATAAATATCTTCAAGGTTATCTAAAAGATTATATTTTAAATATAAGGTTTTAAATAAAATAACTTATATAATCGATTTTAAAAGTTATTATTATAATAAAATATTTTCTAAATCATTTTAAGAAATAAAAGTCTTTTTATAATAATACTAATAATAACGGTTCTTAAGATTTTAATTTACAAGAATTATAAGTTGTCTTATAAAAGAATATTTTAAAAAACTATTTATTGATTAAATTAATAAATCTTATTATATATTTAAAAGTTTTAAATGTTTTAAAAATAATTTAATAAAAGCTTTTCATTTACTTATATTTACTAAAAATATATTAATAAAATCTCTAACTTAACAGAGATAAGTAATAATAACTAATAATGTTTAAAGATCTTTATTAGAAGTAAATAAAAATACTAAATAAATATTATATTTTTGTAGGGAAGTTACGTCTATATACTACTATTTTACGTTTTTATTTTAGTTTTAATATAAAATATTTAGAAAAGAACTAATAATATCTTTACTAATAAGAATAGATATCTAATATTAAACTAGCTCTAAAGAGATATTTAATTAATAATATCTTTCTAAAAAAAGAAAGTATATAGAAAATATAAAATAATACTTAAAACTTTATAATTTAAATAACTTTAAATAATAAGTTTAAATAGAAGCTATTATATTTAAAAAAGAAAATAATAATAAAAAGCTAAATAAATTAGAGAAATATTTAAGTTCATAAAAAGAAGCTAATTATAACTTTATTAATTAATAGTTTATTTATCAAAATAAATATCTTTAGTTAAATAGAATAGCATTAAGTATATTGGTAATGCCTTTATAATTATCTAATTATAAGAAAACATTTAATACTATATTTCTTACCTAAATTTTATAAAAACTAGTAATAAAAATAGAAAAGCTTGAAATACTATAATATATAAAGTAATAGTATAAGAGGGGGGTAATCTCACTACTAAGTAGGTCTAAATAGCTTTATTTAGTAATTAATTAAGTATAGTATCACGATATAGCAATCAAGTTAATTATAGGCCTCAAACTTAATTAATTGCGTTGGAGGTGGCGCTGGGCCCTGCACCGCTGGCTGACGAACGCCACCGTGTTGGACGGCTACCTGGCACCTTCATGGCAGGGTGTTATCCCAAACGGAATCTACGTTGCCGACATCATTCACGATGTTGGCCAATTTCTCCCCTGGCACCGTTACTACATGCACGCGTACGAGATGATGATGCGCGATGAATGTGGCTACAAGGGCACTATGCCGTGGTGGGATGAGGCCAAGGATGCGGACACTGGCGACTTCTTCCAGAGCGAGATGTGGTCTTCAGAGTGGTTCGGAGGCAACGGCGTTGAATCTCTGGACTGGTGTGTCACTGACGGTGCCTTCGCTAACTACACCGAGCTCATGGGCCCTGCGCTTACCGATACGACTTATTGCATGAGCCGTGAGTGGTATCAGGATATTGCCCAAGAGCTGTGCACCAGCGAGGTGGTGAACAAGTCTCATGCTCTCGAGACCTATGAAGACTTCTATGTCTGTGCTGGAAACGCCTTCGTTTCCCCTCACTATGGTGGACACACAGCCGTCGGCGGCATTGTAAGTCACCATCATTTCCACATTGTCTCTGATGTGCAACTAATGCGTTGTTCCTTTCCAGATGGCTGACATCCACATCTCCCCTGGCGACCCGACCTTCTTCCTGCATCACAACTACATCGACCGTCTTTGGTGGCAATGGCAGACGGCCAACGCGCCAGCCCGGTTCTCTGATATGAGCGGTCAGGCTTTCAACTCAACCAACCTAGAGGCTCTTGGTCAGACTGGTCCGGCTGGTGGTTGGCCTAATGCCACCTTGGACTACCCCCTGTGGATGGCGGATATCCTGCCCAACGTCACCATTCGCGAAGTTATGAACGTCCAGGGCGGCCTGCTTTGCTACGACTACGACTACTGAGGTTGAAGCTCAGGTTGATGATGGCTGCTAGGATACAAATTGATGTATATACTCGTGCACTTTGGAATATTACTTTCTTCATTCATGTACATATGTTCTTCCCGCCGTCAGACAATCGAATTATCAAGTTCTCCTCCCTACACGATAGTTGGCTCGTTGAGTTCGCTGACGACAACAGTTCCTGGCTATGAAAACTGTCTAATGATCTAGGCCGAGGCAATTAGCACGGCGTCAGAGATCTTCTCGGACACATTAGGAATGGGGTTTCTCAAGATCAATCTTAGCTTATTTGGTGGTTGCTCTGTGGACTTTTCCCTACAACCTGACTAGAAAACTCCCGGACAAATTCGACGGGCTGGGACTTTGAAGAACAGAATTTTACTTATCACTGAGTACGAATCGATATCTAAGAATCCAATAAGATGAAAGCCGTTTATTCTGATGTCCTGGTCTCTTATGTGACGTATCGGAAGCGCGCCCTGTTCGCCTCACGATCTTCCTCGGAAATCCCAATCACCTGGGCCTGCGACTCTCCCTTCATAACCTCAGCAACATCGGCACCCGAGTCAAGCTTCTTGTTGGCTCGCTGAAGAATGATGCGCATTGCGAGAGCCAAGATGATTGTGCCGAGAGCAAATGCAGAATTGACCGACATGGCCAACACGTAGCGTGGCTTGTCCGTATCTGGGTACAAATATGACGTCCAGACCTATCATAAAACGTTAACTCATCGATTTCGAAACTCATGAGGGAAGGATCTTACCTGCGAAATGTTTCCAAAGGGATTCACAAAAGCCACAGCTGCCGCACGTTTGATCCTAGGTCTCAGCATTGTCTTCTGCGCCCAAGCAAGCACAACAGCATTCGCTCCATGGCCGCCTCCTACCACGAGCATTATGGCGAAGTACCGCGGCCCGGCCTGGAGTGTCGATGCAGCAACAACGAAACCTATGATTGCCAGAGTAAGCGGCCACATGACGTGAAACGACGAGTTGTTAAACCGGTCGGCAGACCAGTTGTTCACGACAGAGATGATCAGCCCAAGGATGTATGGCGGCGCGGTCAGCAATAAGGTGACAACGCGATTGTACCCCAATGTCTGCACCACAGACGGGAAGAAGTTGGACGTGGCAGCAGCAACTTGCAGGCAGAAGAACATGGCCGCAAAGATGTACACTCTCCAGTCCTTGAAGGCGAGCTTGAAACCGTGACTCCACGCCTCCTCGTCCTCGTCGACTTGGCCTGCGTCCTTGATCAAGCGCCACTCGGCAACGGCGCGCTCAGTGGGGCTGAGCCATCGGGTCGTAGAGGGCCAGTCCGGGAGTATGAAGATGGAGCAGAGGGCCACGAAAATGGTGATAGAGCCCTCGATGAGGAAGAGCCAACGCCATGACTCGAGCCCACGAGCACCCTCAAGACCGTCTTTGATACCTGCTCCAATGAGGCCACTGAAGGCACTGCCGAGTTGTGTTGCTGAGAAGAGGATGGCACTGCGGAGACCCATTTCGGAGGGGCGGTACCAGGAGGAGATAAGGAAGAGGGCGCCGGCTGCATGTCATCATACTTGTCAGCAAACGTTTGCAAATCAAAGAAGAGGATATTTGACTTACGGTAGAACGCAGTCTCGACGAATCCGAGGAAGAATCGCAGCGCATAGAGACCGGCCGCGTTATGTGCAATTCCAGTCAATGTCGACAAGAGACCCCACATCGCCATGCATGCCGGCAGGTAGATTGAGGGTCGAAGATTGGCCAAGAATACGTTCGATGGGATTTGCATGAGGACGTAGCCGACGAAGAGGATGGCAACGGCAGTTGCGTATTGGTTAGCTGAGAGGTGAAGGGTTTCGGCCATGTCGGCGACTTTGGCGGCGGCGATGTTGTTCTACATCATTGAAACATCCAGTTAGCCTCGAAAGTGTTTAATATGTATACTCAACCAAGATGGTTGTTTGGAGTGTCCGAGGTAAGTTGCAGGAAAACAAGAAGACCAACTTACACGGTCCAGGTAGTTAAGGACGAAGATCAACCACACACATGCAAGCAACCTGAAATCCCGCTTCTTCTTGAGCTTCTTTTCAGCAACTTCGAACTCTTACTTGGACATGAGTTGTGCAGGAGCCAGGCGATTTTGGCCATGAGCCTCCTTGGTCTCGATCATGTCGACAGTCCCATCGACTAGGGTCTCGGAAACCTTTTCTGGATCCATGGCTGCGGTTGTTTGCGCGTCCAGGAGTGAATAGATGGCGTTTGGCTTTGGTAACATGTTTTCCATAGCCCATTGAGGAAGCCTGGTTTCTTTTACAAGTCTCTAGCACTTGACAGAGTCCTTCTTCCAGACGAGGGTGGAAACCCCTGATTCATGAATCTCCGCAAACTAACAACACGCTACCCCATTACCCCGACTTCCGCGCGGTCCTCAGGTGGGAATCTCCCCCGTCACTCCGCAGATTCAGTGGTAACTTCAAGCTACCCCGCATGGGGTTCACTCCGTGTTGGCTCCGGGGGTGGCTCAAGTCCCAATATCAAAGCCGACACCGTGGGGAAAGGTTTGACTGCAATCTCGGGGTAAACCCGAGCAAGGGTAGAAATGGCATGATCTTACTTGCACTTATGGGGCCCTCTAAGGAATTTTGAACACGGGACTCAGTTCAGAAACGTCTTGTCAAACCTAAGACAGCGGGCGTTGTATTGAGTCTGGCTTACGCTGGGGTTCGAGTGAGTTGACGCTATCGATAGGATTCTCAAATCATTGAACCAAACACCGGAAGCAAAACTATTGCGATTGATATGCAGAGTACACATCTAAATAGTCTAATTGAGGTGTAAGTCAAGACTTATGAACGCCGAGATACTTGGACATCGGCTTCAGCATCCGGTATCTTCGAGTCTTGGTCCCTGTATCCGTACGTTCAAGAACGAGTAGAGCATCGAAGCAAAATCGCTTCTTAGCTATCATCAGCTTGTCCACCAACAACCGCACTTCATAAGGACTTCTACGGCGTCAGGTAGCGCTAATACCTTCCCAATCCGGGGCTGGATGTATAACCTCGAAATATGCTGGAGTTCTCCGGAATGCATGTGTTGGCTCGGACTCTTCCGAATCAGAGCTGCTCAGGCTTGGTCGGGTCAGTCACTACTTGCGGCAACGTTTGATCGAGGTCGAATGATCGGATACCTGAAAGAAACAACGTAACCGTAACCCATGCCGGACAAAGTGACTGCATGAGGAATTGGGAGAGCTGCCTACTCTATCAGCATGACTTTGAGTCTCCGAAGGCCGCCTTGGGATGGCGCTTTGGTCTCGGAGGTATGCCGATGCGAGGCTCTCGCACTCCTCCACCTTGTTCCAGCTTCCTTCAGAGAATCGATTGTTCATCTCAAGACCTCACGTCCCTCAGCTGAAATTAAGCATACTTCAAGGACATGGTTACGTGGTTCTTCTAGTGGCTCATTCACAGAACTAAGTGAACTATGTCTCACCTATGCCGTCTATTTTGACTACATGTCAAACATCTTCATCGCATTATCTGTCATAAAGTCAATCGGACGTTTGGCAGATTCTTTTACTCGCGCGAGGTTAACAGTCCAAATCACACCGGACGAACAGGAATTTATTCCACGGCCATATCATGTCCCGGTGTATCGAGCACCTTTCGCTAGCAGTCGTTCTGTGAAGCGGGAACTAAACCCGACTTCATTCCAAAAGCTTGGTTGCACTGGCAAACACAGCAGTCCTCTCGGTCTCGAACGGCTTTCCCCCGTACTTCTTGTTGAGATACTCAATGATGGTCGCAGTTAACTTCGGTCGCAACTTTTCCTTCTGCTCCTTGGACCAGTACCTCTCCGTGACACCCAACTCAAGGCCCTGCAACACGGCGCAGAACTGCTCTGGGGTCTCAAACGTGATATTCTTCGTAACAGTCTTGGCTTCAGCGTCGACGAAGCCGGCCGCATTGTACATGGCGCATGTAAAGTACTCGTCCTCCCATGCACCCGGCGACCAGATCCGGGTGAGCTGGTGGGACTCCTGAGGCCATGGCACGGGCTTCTGGCCAGGCAGCCTGAGGTCTGCGACCGCTTCGCGAGTGGCGGGAACCCAGCCCTCGTATGCCCAGGTAGATGTAGCGATTTGGCCACCAGGCTTAAGAACGCGATGTAATTCTGAACAGGGCCGTTAGTGCGTTGACATGCTGTGACGTCTTCATCGAGTCTCACCAGAGAGCCCGGTGTACGGATCAGCGACTACCATCAGTGCCATTCCGACGACAATGTAGTCGAAACTGTTGGACGGAAAGGGAAGACACTATTGGCAGTTTCAGTTCCGAGCTCCACCCGGGTAAAGTGCACGTGTACAAGTAATTGAGAAGAGGCTGAAGCATTATGCACATCCACTTACTGCAATGTCCGCATGAACGGTTTTGGCATCGACCCAGCCATCCACCTTGATCCTCTCTCTGACGTATTGAAGCTGAGCCTCACTTGAGTCAGAGCAAGTTAGTCTCACAACGCCGTCTTTCTCTCTTCCTTGTTCCTTGATCATCGCTTGGATGTGAGCGGAAACTACTCCAGCTCCGCAACACATGTCCAAAACCTCGACTGGTTTTTGGAGAGATGCAATCTTTTCGCCAGTGAACCCACAATGCTCTAGAAGAGGCGGGGTGACTGGAGCCGTGATGTACTCCGTGTTTCTGTATATATTGCCAACGTCGGTCCTTCGCCAGAGACTTGTATGGTTGGCTCTGTCTGCCGGTGGATTGATGCCGGCAGGGTTGAGAAATAGCTTGGACTGTCCAGGGGCGTTGGGCCCAGCTGCCGAGTAGGATTCCATTATGAATTTGGTGTGAGATTGCTTCTTAATAGTACGTTGGAATTGTTTTCAAATGTCTTGGCTTTGAGGGCGATACGCATGATCCGACTACGCAGCGTAGATGGCAAGCTGGATATGGAGCATTTATACTCGTGTTACAGTCAACCTCTCCGTACTGGCTCTAAATTTCAAGGCGAAGTCTATCTGCGAGAGCGAAGTCATTTCATCAAGCCGTTACTGGGTTCAACAAGCAAGAAAATGGTCAACTAGCCAGATCAGTACCATGTACAAGGAATAGTCGGCCGTATTCGGTAACCACGAGGCTGCACAAGCTTCGCCCAGCCCGTGCCCTAATAGACTGAAAGCGTAAGATTATGGTTTAACGTAGGGGTTGTGCGTTAAGGCTACTGGTAACCCACCATCTCTACATGTGCTTTCGTCTGAAGACTCAGAATACCTGAGCCTAAACTATATCAACCACTAGCATTCGTACCATTACGTCGCCAAGAAAAGGATGTTAGTTCTGTTGACCCAATCGGGGAGGTGCCTTACCGGTGTAAGCATCGCAAGTCGCCGTTTGAACTGTTGTATTATTGGCTGTTGGTGACCGGCCGTCTCTCGGTAATGTACTCGCCAGCAGAGAAGCGTGACGGTGAAAGCTGAAGAACTATTAGAGAAATCTGCTTCAAAACAGGCATCTTAGCTAAGTGTAAGAAGGATTTCGGCGTGCCTATTTGCATACTGACGTTGTTTTAGGAACCACAAATGACTTCGTGCATCCCCTTGGCGACATCTTGCCTCCGGTATGGGATCCGTGCGAAGCAATCGCTTTTCCAGACAAGGGGCAGAGCTTGGTTTGGCAGAAATGGGGATACGGATGTCAACCATCATGCTAGAAATCCCCCGAAACGCTGGTAGAGGTGGGCTCGGTCCCCGGTGTGCCCTACGCGCGGTCTGGTTACCGCCATACGGCACGCGCGGTGAGGTCAAACTCAAAAGTCCCGTCACACGCACTGTCTATTCCCGCCCGTAATTGAGGAATTAACACCAGTATTTTGTCCTGTCATTACAAGACTGGACGGAGCTGGTGCCAGCCCAGCCCTGTGGGCGCCAAATGAACGTCCAACCTTCGGCTGAAACAAAACTCTCGTGCCGGAGTCACCCGCTCGTTTGTTTCTGTGCGTGTAGAAGTGAACAAACACCACGCCCCACTATGGCGAATACTGGTATTCTCACAATGCCCACAGGCCCTCAAGTCGGAGCCGATCAATTTGAGTTACCAACGCGGCTTCGGAGTCGCTATCGACAGTCGAAGCTAATCTAATTTTACCCCTGCCTCTTCCCACACGCTAAATCTTGAGGTTGAACACCGCCCACGGTGTGTGATAAGACACAAACCTTGCGGTTTCCCGGGGCAAAGGCCCGGATGCCCTGGAAAGCGATCGTCGTCAGTACATCTAGGATAAGATTGCCCTGCCGAGACTCCAGCCATGTAACCGTACCTTGAACCATGATGTCTATCTCAAACCTGCAATTCTGTCATTACCTTCTGAACTTGCGTCAAACTCGATGGTGCATGTGCCTTGCATGGCCTTCAAACAGTACACCACTTTTACCGATGCAGAACGAGGGTCAGAATAGAGTCGATAGTGGGTTGCATTCTGTCGGCGGCCCGCGGCATCGGGAAATATTAATAATCTCCGAACACGTGCCGTAGTCTGGGAAAGGATGTTCTCTCAGGAACGGCACGACAAATCATAAATCGTGCGGAAAATCAAGTTGCCACAACTTCCCTAGCTGATTTAAATTTTTCAACATATCCCAAAACGGTCACCAAGAGCACTTTCTTGGCGGCGGTCCTCCGACGAGCTTTCCTTCATTTTGAGACTACAAGGTAGAGACATTGAAAGACGGGCTAGCTAATTCTTGATGTTGTAACGTTTTCGTAGTCAGGATTAGTTCAGCTGAAAAGGTCCCCGAAGCATATTATCAAATGAGGAGTGATAGCCGACGGGATTGCCGCGTGGTGCGGAGTTGAGAAGTCCGTGATTGCTGGCCCTTCAGTTCACTGCTTGCATAGACCTGCTGGCCAAATTTCCCAAACGGAGACGACAATGTCCAAAAAGATTGCCTTCAGCCCAATTCCGTGTCTTTTGTTTTGTTCCATATTCTGTGTAGTTTACTCTATCGCGTTGTTCAAACCGTATGCCTGTGTCTTTGACCCCTCGAGGGCAGATGACTGCTTCGGCAATGTCCTGAACGAGCATCGGTGGCCGAGGACCATTCGTGAACCCTCCCGGTTTTCTGTCTTCGCCTGTGGGATATTGACGTTGAGGCACAACCAAAACTCACAGATCTCTCGCCATCTTCTGAATGTGACTCGCCCCGTCGGCTTGCTT